ATGTGTGACTTCAAATTTTCTATTAGCCCACATTAATAAAAATTTTTAAATTGAGTGAATTGATTCTAATAATACATTCTACTTATTTATTTTTAAAAATATGTTTTTACTGATTTTTTTTAGAGAGAAAGGAAGAGAAGGAGAGAAAGAAACATTGATGTGAGAGAGAAACATCAATTGGCTGCCTCCTGCATGCTCCCTACTGGGGACGGAGCCTGCAACCCAGGCATGTGCCCTGACTGGGAATTGAACCAGGACCTCTCATTCGATGGGACAATGCTTAGTCCACTGAGCTACACTGGCTTGGCCATAATACATTTTATTTAAATCACTATGTAAAAATTCTATTTCAACTTCTAATGAATGTAAACATTTAAAGATATTAATATTTATATGAAGTCTTTGAAATCTGTGTATTTTACTCTGACAACAAATCTCACCAGGTATATTTTATCTCTGCAGATAATATGTGGCCAGTGGCTATGGTATTGAGCAATGCAGTTGTAGATAATTAGACTGGGAAATCTAGCCGTTCAAGTTTATATGGTAGAGTTTGAGGAAGTCTTAGAGAACTATAACTTCCCAGCTTACAAAATGCTGCTTAACCAATATTGATGCACAATATAATACTCACAACATTGGTTCAGCTGCACTTGGATTTCTAAGGTAATATCTCTGATATAACAAAGGCCTTTGTCAGATGCCAGCTTTCTTGATGCTGGTTTGTCACATGAGTCTTTATAAGGAGAGCATAATTGCTTAGGTAAACCTGTATGTATTTATTATTCTTACATACCCCTAAAATTAGAATTTGTGTTTCCATGTTGGTGTTTTCTAACCCTGGCTGTGTATCAGAATGATCTGGAGCCAGACAGGAACCCTTTAGGAATCAGAACTTCTGGGAGTAACTCTCAGGCAGGTGTAATATTCCAGATTTTCCACAAGGCATTTTGATGGACAGCTGGGTTGAGAACTACTACTGTAGACTTAATTCCCATGTGTGGAAGATGAGTGTGAGCATGGAAGGTACTAATTGTTGTGATAGTTGGCCTGGTTCTAGAAAAGGGGGAGAGAGAAAATTTTATAACTCAAAAGCAGAGAAGAGTGAGATCACTGGGTCAAATGGCAATTCTGTTTTTAATTTTGTGAGGAAACTCCATACTGTTTATCATAGTGGCTACACCAGTCTGCATTCCCACCAGCAGTGTACTAGGGTTCCCTTTTCTCCACATCCTTGCCAGCATTTGTTGTTTAACTGCCATTTGACCCAGTGATCCCACTTCTAAGAATATATCCCAAGAAGCCTAAAACCCCAATCAGAAAGAATATATGTACCCCTATGTTCATAGCAGCACTATTTACAATAGCCAAGATCTGGAAGCAGCCCAAGTACCTATCAGTAGATGAGTGGAAAAAAAAAAACTGTGGTACATTTACACAATGGAATACTATGCAGCTGTGAAAAAGAAGGATCTCTTACCCTTTGAGATGGCATGGAGGGACCCAGAGGATATTATGCTAAATGAAATAAGCCAGTCAGAGAAAGTCAAGTATCACATTATCTTGCTTATATCTGAAATCAAATGAACAAAATATACTGATGAACAAAATAGATCCATGGACATGGAAGCAGGGAACAACAGACTGATGACCAAATAACTTACATGCATAATCCATGGACACAGACAATAGAGTGGTGAAGGTGGGGTGAGGGGGGGTCAATGGGGGAAAAAAGGTGGACATCTGTAACACTTTCAACAGTAAAAATAAATTACAAAAAAAGAAAAAAAAAGTAGAGCAGAGTGGAAGTAACATAAAAAAAAAAGCTTTAGATAAAAAAGCCAATAATGATTTATTATCCCGACAAATCAACTAGACACTGACATAGATAGGGGTTATCCCATGTCTTTTCTGGAACATAGTATCTCTCTCTATATATACCATATACCCAAACCCACCTTGCTTGGGAGAGAGTCCAAAAAACACATTCAATTGCAAATGAGGTGTGCAATTTTATGGTCTGTAAACAAGGATGTTTATTTGAAATATGTGAATTTAGGAAGTGTTAGATATTATAGAACATACTGTTTCTTGTTACTATATTAAATATATTTATATTATCTGCCAAATGTAAGAATTTAGGTAAAATAGAGTAACTGCACATTTTCACCTCAGGATTTTACAAGGAGCATAAATTATCATCCTATAAGTAAATATCAACTAATTTTCACCTTTTAGATGCCTTAAAAAAAGGCTTTAGTAAGAAGTGGTAGAATTTGAATACTACTTTATTTATCCAAGTTATTTCAAACAAATGTACCATATTAGATAAATACCTATTCAAATTATGAAGAAAATGTCTAGGATTTTCTAAAAACAAAGTTTGGATAAGAAGACTTCAAATTTGTGATGGACTGAGTCCCTTAGTATAGAAGAAAAGCAATGAACATAAGGACACGCCAATCTTTAGGAGCAGGAAAAATAAGCAACTACTGAGTGGTATGATTTCAAGATTGCTTGGAGAGACCCCAACTCCTGAACACTCCAGTGGTAAAGCATTTTTAGAAGCTTGTTTGTCTGGAGATTCTCCTGGGAAAATGACACTGCTGCAGAGCTGACGTTACAAGCTAATATCATCTGCCAATGTGTTTACTTAGGTAAAATGAAGTAGTGACACATTTTATTTTTATAAAGTGCGAATAAAAAAAGAAAGCACAACCAAGCTCTCAGTCCTTCCTGCTTCGCCACTCTCCCTCCCAGTCCGCTCTGCCCCTGCCCCCTTGCTTCCGATGAATGTCTGCGAGGCTCTGCTCACACTCTTCTCACACTCTTTTCCCTTCTATTGGCCATTAATTATTTGTAGACAACAATTAGCACAAACATTCAACCCTATTTTGTAAATTTCCAGAGGAATGTACATATATGTTATTTCGGGGGCCACATTTCCTCTGCTCCGTCTTGCCCCAAACTTGTGTTTGGTGTGCGTAGGCAGCTTTCCCGATGCCAGTTCATTGTCTTTGCTCACTGCCTGGCCTGCTGGTGCTGAGCTGTAGGAGAAAAGGAAGTTCCAAATTATAGTCTTTGAAAAGGGAGTGTCAGAGAACCCACAACTGCTTAGAATTTCAAAAGAGAGGG